ATTCCAGCAAAAGTTTGAATGCATAAGAAGCTCAGTGGGACTATACTGGAAAATCTCAAATGGAACATACAGACCTAAGTCTTTGGTCAGTTGATTCTTTCCCCTGCCATAGAAAAGACTTCTTAAAGACTTCAGTGTAAAGTTGGTGTGTAAATACATGTTTGATAATTGTAAAGCACATACGTACACAGAGACACAGACACATATGCACACTGGAAAATAACATTCTACTTTTGTTCCCCCTATGTACTATGATTAGTGCAAGAAATCTCAGCCAAGGGCTCTAAGAAATTTAAAACAAAATGGTTAATAACATCAACATTTAAATTGTTCACTAAAAAAAAAATAAATCATTCAAATTATACTGAATGTGTCTCTAGTGTGTTCTTTAATTTGTTTTATGATAGTTACTTAATTTGTGATCTTTTCTTTCCTCCATTACAGCCTGCTGAGTTTTATTTGCTCCAGATCTTTTTCCTCAGTTTACTAACCAACATCCAGCAATTTCAATCTTAAGCAATCACATTTGAGCAACTTCGTAAGATTTGAGGGATGTGTTCTCATTTAGTATCTTTACAAATTTTGAATGCATGTTATTGTTCTATTTTTTGGGAGATGTTTAGTATCAATTTTAGGAAAAAATATAGATAGACATCTACAGTAAGTATCAGCTAAGAAAGCTCCATGGTATCTGCAAGATACTTAGGAAGCCTATCTGCATATTGTTGTACACAAGGAGGTACTTTTGCATGGATGTCTATGCTTAGAAATACATGGCTAGGGAAAGCACATATATAAATGTTGGAATAGTGCTTGAAGTTCATCTCCTATAGCTGTATTTAAAGATGGAAAAAAACCTAAAAAAATGATCACTTTTTTTTTCTACTGTTGAGCTCTCAGTAAGTTTTCAAAATCAATACAAAATTCTGTCTGGCTTATGCTGGTGACAAATCAGACTTTCAGAAAACTCTAAATACTTTGTTCAATGATCATGTAATATCAATATTCTCTGAGGCTCAAGTAATGGGTTAAGATTTAAAAAAGTTTTCAGTCCAGACATAATTGATAATTGAGAAAAATCTGTGTAATTTTGAATGAGGTATTTTATCCCTGTACTGCAGATGCAGGGCCCCTTTAAGCATGCCTTATCAACTCTTACACCTGAAGGATAGAGGCTAAAGGACTCAATGAGGCTGGGCTTTGAAGGTATAAAAGGTTCATCATGCCACAAAGGGAGCATTTAGGTCTTACTTCTAATGAGAAGATACTGCTGCCTGCTTGTGATATTTGCAGTCAAGCTTCTTCACCTGGTGAGTTTACTAAAAGCTATGTATGGTAATTGCTGGTACAGTTCATAGAGCTGATGCACGCCCCTCTAAACTTCATTGAATATTAAGGTGCTATCATTTAGTTGAGAAATTGTACAGCATTTCTAGTCTAAATTGCTTTATGTAGTGTAATATCCTATTATGAGACAGTTGAATTGTGAAAAAGGTACAAAATTAGTCAGGGTCCCCTTTTTCAATTAATGGACTGTTAGCTGGTAATACCTTCTTCACCTCTAGCTTCCATGGCACTGTGGCCATTAGAGACTAGTGGAAGAAGTAACAAGAAAGCACCAGCATTCATTAGTGCATAGTTTCAAGCTGGGTAGGAAAACTAAGTGTAGTCAATTATGAGGAGGGTAAGAAACATTTTTTATTAAAAAAATCTTTATTCATCTAAGAAGGTCCTATGTAACATAGAACAGAAGTGCAGAACCTAGGATATTTTAATAAAGGCCTAAGGGTATTTCTAAAGAAAAGGAATCAGTTACATTTCTCTTTGAATGAATCCTGTCTTGGGAAGAAGAGAAGAAATTGAAGCACATGTGTTCCTACTTAGCTTAAGAAAAGCATAGGCATAGAGAGGAATAAAACAGTAAGTAGTTGTTTAAATAATCAATTCACATAATCATGTTCTCTGAATAGCAATTCCTTGCTATTAACTCTCTAATAATTTAATTTGTATCAAGTTTTTTATCTTAGTATTCTGAATAACTCATGGTTACTCTATTTTCTATCTGAAGAATTCAAGATTTTAAAACAAATTCTGTTTTATACAGAAGTGAAATGATTAACTTCTGATTATATAAGTAACCTGAGTTGTTAGTTAAAACTAAAAGATCTGGGCCAAAGACAGGTGCTGAAATTAAATCACCTGGCTCTTAGTCATCCACCTGGATAAATCATGCAATTAAATTTGCATCTATTTCCTCAGTTCTCAGGTTTATCAGTAATGCAGCACACCTGAAAGAACTGCATTAATACACCTGGGCAACAATGACATTCACAGAAGAGATGTTCCATCTGCTGCAATAAAAATGCCATCTGTCTGTTTCTTATTTGCGCTTCTTACAGCAAAACAAGTTTCAAAGGAATAAAGTATTCTTAAACAGCCCTTACTCACAGATCCTTTTAGTTATAATTTCCAAAGGTGGAATAGTGGAAATACTGAGGGTCAGTTAAGTAGGAGAAAGACTAACTCTTAGACTCTTCCCACATAGAGGCTATGGCAAGCTTAAAAATTCATTGCCCCATCCAATCCACCTCAATCCTTCTCTGAAAGGATTAAGTGCCCATAAAAGACAGGATAGATAATGGCTAAAAATTATTGAACTTTTCCAGTATTAACAATGTTCTATTTTTTTCCTAGTAGTGTTTTTGCTTTTGTTATTGCCCAGGTCATTTATCACTGCATAACACCCTTTCACTAACATTAAGCGTTGTGTCTCAACTGTTTTCACAAAGAGTGTAAGTTTTTACAGCTGTGAATCTCAAGTTCATTTCTATATGTACGGGGGCAGTTTCCCTGTTTAAACAGAAACCTTTCCAGTCAACCTAAGCTGTGCATCATGCACACATCTGAGAACTCCATTAGAAAAAGGACAAATGGTAAGCCCTGAATTGGCCTACTAGACATCTAGCCACACCTGAAGGTCAGAGTTAATCATTAAGTTCAAGACAGCAGGGACTGAACATCAAGGCTTATTACTGAATGATACAGTTCCAAAAGGGCTAAGGGGAAGGCTTTAGCGAATATGGATGAGTGGTTAATGATTAATAGTGATTAATAGTGATCTGCAAAAATTTGGCAACTTTTATTTACTTCTGCTTCCTTCTCTCATGTTTCTGTCATGATCCATATTGACAGGATGGCATCTTGCTGTCTAAACAGGTAAGGGACAGTATTTTTTTTAAGGCAGTCAGGTCAAAATTTAATTAAGCCAAGTCCCTCTCGTTTGATTTGAAAAGCTGTAAAACAGCTAGTGGAAATAAATTAACAGATCTGTTTTCTATAGTGATGTTCACAAAGTTTATTAATATTATTCATATGGATTAAGTTATTTAGAACTTTGAAAAGATTGCATGCACATAAAAATAAATCTTTATATTGTTAGAATTCATGTACACATTCAGCAAGGCTTTATGCACTCATTTTATTATTTTTTAAGCATCAGTAATGTAACAATTCCTCAGATAAGATACTTTCCCATGAATTTAAATAGTATGGCTTTTTAATAGCTAATATCTACTGAAATTTTAAAATTATAATTTTCATCAACTGGAAGAGTAAAGTTTAAGATGAATGTTCAGATTATAAAACTATTGAAAGTATAATATTAGAATCTGGAAATAAATGTAGCAAATCAGCATAAATTCCCTTGGAATAGAAAATACTTTAAAAATTATAAATTTATGTAATATAAAGAAAGCATGTAAAAGGTACAACGACTTCTGGCAAGTAAAAGACAAATTCTCAGGTTGGATTCCTCTATTTAGACAGAAGCATTTAAAAGCTGGATGCCTGACTGATGTAATCAACTCAGCTTCTGTTTATCTCACTGGAGATAAAGGGACATCACCAGAGCAGAACTCATCCTAAACTAAGCACCTTTTGCTGTACAGTTACTGTTTTCTCTCTTGCTATACAGGGAGTGTAGGATGACCAGCTCAATATGACATCTGAAGTTAGGTGGAATTTATCACATTTCTAACTTTGTATCTTACCAAGTCCATTTCACAATTTCACCTAAGGGCAACCAATATTTGAGTAAAATACCAGAAAAAGCAAACTGCTTCATTATTCCTTGCATCTCCCCCAGCTTTGTATTTGTTTGGTTTGCTTTTTTAATTTACTACCTGAAAGCAATGTCAAAGCATACATTTAAGAAAGTGTATAAGCCTGAGGTCAAATACATATTAATAGGTAATCTGTAGAATACACAGCACAATGGATGGTGCTTCTAATTGCTCATTTGTCTCATCCTACACCAGTACTTGTAAGAAGTGGGGAAGGCATACAACAAATTTCACAAGATTTGTACCTTCTAACACCAAAAAACCTTGCTCCCAACCCTGTGTGCTGTGAAATCAGTGCACCATGATGAACAGCTGATCAGCATTTTGAACAGAAGAGGACAAAGTGAATTTTTGATGCAAGATTCTGAAATACAAATTTAAGTGCAGTCCACACAACCTTGTATTTGGGCAGGTAGCCTTAACTTGCATAAGACCTAAGAAAATTAACAGATATAGCAGAATAAGCCCCCCATCCCAGTGTATAGATTCAGAGATGTGTTATGTTAACACAGGACATTTCACTTGTTATCTATGTAAAGCATTTTCTGTACTTTGGTTTAGTATCCTCACTATTATTACACAAGTTGCACATTTTTAGAAGTGCAAAAACAGATCTAGAAAACGTAACTGCCTCCACCAATTAAAAATATTACATTCATACTTTTGAAAGTTTTACTATAGAACCCAAATAATGAATTCTCATAAGAAAATTAACTAAAAAAATTTAAAATTATCCAAGTTAGAAAAGATACTGGTTTTAAATATTATTTTCAAGGAGAATGGGAGAAAACAAATCTGTAAGATATTATATATGGAATCAGTACATTTACCAATCTGCTTTGCCTATCTGAATACTTAACTACTGAAAAAAATCCCTACCTTCAGGTAATTTTGCCATCAATTCAAAAACCTGATGCAAGTTCTTCCGACAGATATCTACTGGATCATCCAAGAGCTTGGCGAGGGCAGAAATTACTCCATTTTGTATCAACCCTTGCCTACAAACAATATCAGATGACAGATTTAACTAAGCATAATAAAACTCATCTATTTGCAAGATGCTTAATCTTGACTAAATACTCTTATTTACATTGCATCAAATCTTGTGAATAAGAATTCTACCTGGTTCTTATTTCTCACCGAAACATCTTTATGGCTTCCCACACCATTCAGTAAACTCTGGAATTACACCTACCTGCCAACACTATGACTAGCCATTATAGAGAGGACTTCTGTTGTTTTTTGTCGGACAGTGCTGTCATGATGTAGTAGCAAAGTCTTCAAGTTATCCAAGAAACCTGTAAGACACAATAGAAAAGGTAATCTGAATCTTCATTAGAAAGGGTGTGGTTAGTAGGTCAAGAGAGGTTCTCCTCCCCCTCTATTCTGCATTGGTGAGGCCGCATCTGGAGTATTGTGTCCAGTTCTGGGCCCCTCAGTTCAAGAAGGACAGGGAACCGCTTGAAAGAGTTCAGCGCAGAGCTACAAAGATGATTAAGGGAGTGGAACATCTCCCTTAAGGCTAAGGGAGATGGGTCTCTTTAGCTTGGAGAAAAGGAGACTGAGGGGTGACCTCATCAATGTTTACAAATATGTAAGGGGTGAGTGTCAGGGAGATGGAGTTAGGCTTTTCTCGGTGATGACCAGTGATAGGACAAGGGGTAATGGGTGTGCAAATTGGAGCATAGGAGGTTAAAGGTGAATATCTGAAAAAATTTTTTTACTGTAAGAGTGATAGAGCACTGGAACAGACTGCCCAGGGAGGTTGTGGAGTCTCCCTCACTGGAGACATTCAAAACCCACCTGGATGCATTCCTATGTGATGTACTCTAGGTGGCCCTGCTCCGGCAGGGCGGGTTGGACTAGATGATCTTTCGAGGTCCCTTCCAACCCCTAGGATTCTATGATTCTATGAATAGTCATGTTAACATTTCTTATCTTCAGCATTAATTTAAAACAGCAATACTATTTTTTGTATCACTATTTGAAGTGTAAACAATCAGAATTTTCATCTTGTCTTGACAGTTTCTTATTGTCATAAGTAGGGAAGCAACTTTCAAGTTTTAAGACCTACTACAAAAATGCAATGCCACAGAAAAGCTTCTGATTTCTGTATCAAGTTAAATCCTAATCTTGCAAATATTTTTGAAGTGACATAACTATAAAAATATGTCAGTGAAGCTATTGATGTTTTCAGAAATGCATGTTTGCAGTATTGGCACCTCTCATGAGGGAAGAAGTATAAAGGGAGTAAATGGAGAAAAAAGCAGTGGCAAACAGGAGGACTTCTTCAGTGTTACATAATTAGCTATGTAGATACACAACAGACTGCTAAAAATGATGAAGATAAGCTTGGTTGTGTTTTTTGGTTTTGTTTTGTTTATTTTTTTGTTTGGTTTTATTTTATATTAGTTTGGTTTTGTTTTTCTTTTTTTCCAAAATACAAGTTTAGGATTCTTCCAAGTGCTAGAATAAAAGCTTGTGAAAGTAGTGGTGCCCAGACATAATCCTGATGAGTATAAGAAATTTTCTTATATTCTCTTATATCGTAATTTCTCATTAAGTTCCTGGGTTTGTTTGGGTTTTTTATACACTCATTCTACAATACCTAAATACTTCTGAGAAGCAGTTTTGCCTGAGAGATTAGAACTTTGAGCACCTCAAGCACAAAAAATCCAGCAAGTTAACACTGTGACATACATGGTAGCAAAGGGCTTTTGTCTTTTTTTTCCTTCCCTAGGAAAACTAAATCTTTTCTTTTCACCTTTTAAAATAAAATACATTTAGTAGTTTTACATTATTAGCAATTCATGAATTCACAGCTTTGATTCTTTCTGAAAGGTTCATGTATCATAGGATTAGAAAAGATGCCAAGCAAATTAAATTTATCTAAGTGGCAAGAGGGTGAGGGAGGTGCGCGTTTCTAACTTCAGACTAATTAGGCTTTTAAAATTTGATTAGCCTATGACAGAAATCAGCTACAATTCAGAAAAATCAGAAGACAATAAAACATTTTGCACTATTTTTGTATTTAGGGATTGATAAAAAGTATAGTGAGCCATGGCATGACAATAATCTCCACCTTTTTAAGGTAAAACAGGCAGAGAGTAAACCCAAAAAGTCTCTGTGGCCTGTGGTGTCATCAAACATACTGCAAGGAAAAAAATAGCACACTAAGGTAAAGCGTTGGGTTTTTTCCCCCCATTGTGTCAAAGCTTATGACAACTGCTCACTTACCTATTTCTATTGCCTGGTAGACATTTTCTGGATCATGGACCAAATCGCAGAGTGCCATCAATGCCCGCTGCTGGGTCAGCAGCTCAGGAGATGGTAGCTCCTCATTTAGTTTAGGAAGGGCCCTCCTCCCAAATGCAATAGGAGCTTTTGTCGGATCTATATCAGGTGGGAGGTTGGCTGAGATACGAGCGTGTGCCATCCCAGATTTTCCTGGGAAGGATTCTCCCCGATCCCTAGAAATACTCCCAAGTGACTGTACCTGCTGATTGGACAGATAATGTACCAAAATGACAACTACTGACTTTAAACAGTGCTCTGTGTCCCAAAAGAGCTATTTTAGCACACATGCATTGTTAGGAAAATATTCAAGAAGAGGCTGCAAAGGTTCATGGTCATCAGCATTAATGTTGATGTTCAACTGCTGAATTGTCTTATCTTCTTTAATTCTCTAACGAGCACTGTAAAAAACCCAAAACACAAGCAAACTAATAAACAAAAACCACCAAAAAACCATCACAAGCAAAAGAACCCATCAAACTTAAAATCGCAAGGTAAGAAAGAGAATGTTTTTCAAGGGGTTAAAATTAATTAGTTCAATGTTCCGAACCAGAGAACGGCCTCAAATTACTACTAAAGCAAACAGAACGCCGTTTTTGTTTTTTTTTTTTTTTTAAAAAAAGCATGCTTTTAAAAGGGCCTGGTTGCTTAAAACATGCCCTGAGAATTAGTTAGCGTTAGAAAGAACCGGTGATCGCTGCCCTCCCGCTTCCCTCAGCAGGGAACCGGCGCAGCCGCCTGACTGGAGCAACCGCCGAGACGGAAAACTGCCCCCAACAACAACAACAAAACAGCTGCGAAGTTAAAATAACCGCTAAAAAACCTGTACTTCTCTCTTCGAAACAGAAAAATTAGCTGAAATAATCAGAGGCGACCTGTCCCACCGATGCTTCGCCGCCTCAGCCCTTTCCCGCCCCACCTCTCCCCTCAGCGGCGCAACCGCCCTTCCCGCCCGCGTTCTCTGCGTGCCACAGCAACCTGCTCCTTGCGTACGCCCCGCTTCGTGAATAAAAGCTACGCAGCGAAGGACACTGGACCTGGCCCTGCGCCAATAGCGTAAGTAGCGCGTTTGACGGTGGGTGTTGTGAGGGAGTCGCGTCAACGGCGTAGTTGGAGAATCGGGAGGCGGGCGCTGCTGGCGGAGCGCGGCGGGAGGCGAAGCTGAGGCGCGGCCCCTCAGGGGCCGAGGTGTTGCTTGTGGGGTTGCGGTCTGGGCGCCGTTTTACCGCGTTTCGCTGCTCCCTCTCCTGTTTTTAAATTAATTTCTGGTCAAATTCATTCAACAAATTTGAAAAAAATTCGGATCGAACAAAATGGTGGTCGAGTTGATGGCGGAGGTCGAGCAGGCAAGTGCTGTGAGGTACAAGGCTTGTAAAGAAGCTCCGTAGCTTTGGACTAGGTTGGGTTTTTTTCCCTAGTCTTCTCCAGAATGTCGCTATAAACAGCAAGAATGTGTAGGAGGGCTTTCCAATATCATTAGGGAATTTCACATAGCTGTGATTCAAGATTTGGCCATCTTTTTCATCACGGTTCTGCTAGAAAGTGCAGCGTAGTTCAGAGGATGGTACACGGGAAGAACGTATCATTGTAATGCTGCTAGTATAATTTAAAGGTGCTCTGTCTTGTGAGACGTGGTCTGGCATCAGAAAAAACCTCTGAACAGCTTGTGTTATAAAAGGTTAGTTTTCTGTGCAAATAGAGAAGTCATTGAGATGTTTTTCATTGTTTTTGAGTAACAATTATAATAATCAAACTTCTTAAACTGCATTTTACAAAGCCAAAGTCATTCAGATCAGCCGGATTAAAATAAAATAGGAATAGATTCTGTTTGTTGATCTTCAAAACCCATAAAAGAAAAATTACTACTTTAAAAAGTCTTTTCCGGAAAGGATTCATTTTTCTGCAATGTTTTAGAGCAGATTATTTAAAGTAGAGGTTATTTTCCTGAATTAGATTGGACTTCCATTATTTGTAAAATTTCACTCTATTTCCGAAGGAAGAATGTGAACATTTCTCAGTATAGAAGGGGCAGGAGAAGATCAGACAGTTGTTCTTCAGTCATGTCCTTTTGGCGTGAGTCTTTTCCTTCGCCATAGTTTCAAATACAGATTTTAGTTAGTGGTCATGATATTAACTTATTTTATGTACAGCTTCTGAATGTCTTCCTCAAATCCTTTGTCTATCCACAAAATCTGCTGGTAATATTTCAGCAACATTGATGTAAGGAGTGTTGAGGTGCCAGGAGACACTGTATTTCCAGTCCTCACTGGTGACTGAATGCCCATCAACTCTGAGAAAACCTGGGTCTTGGTGCTGATAAATCTCAGTATTTTCAGCAGCTTTATATTTCTTAAATAGTTAATCTTTTTCCTTCAATGTTGTGGCTAATTTGGTACATTAGTATGTGTATAACATTTATATTAAGTATACTACACCTAAGTGCTGGTGGCCTTTCAATTTTAAAACGTTTCTGTTTGGTTGCCTTGGTCCCTCCTGGACTTTGGATTCACTGTGATTGTTGAATTGTTTTCTTGTGTAGCTTAGTTTGTGAAAGAGCTCTAGAAGACAAGCCTATGTACACATGGCACTTTTACATGCTTAGGATGTGTTGAAGTACAACTAGGAGAATATAGAGAGGGCAAGTTAGTGTTTGAAACCCTTACTAACTAGCAGGATTTTCCTTTTTGTTGTCATAGTTATTATTTTTAGACTTTAACCTTACCATGAAAGCATTCAAACTTGCCAGAAGGGCAGGAGCTCACCACAGAAAGGATCTAGAACTCTACACAGTCACAAATAGCATAGTAAATAGAATTATGCATATGATAATCAGTAAATACAGTAATGTCACCTTCTTTGGTGAATAACCAACCCATCAGTTGCAGATCTGCATTCTTCAGGAGGCAGTGGGTGTTTCCTTACAGTTGAGATTACATGAGTGCCTGAAGTGATTTAAAAGCAGTTCCCCACAAAAGAGAATAAAACATTAATTCTGAGTAGTTGATTAGCAATTTTATTGAGTGTTATTCTTAGCATGGAGTTGTAAAACATGACTTAGGGTTTTTTTGGTATATACTTGTTGTTTATGGTTCCTTGTCCACATGTTTTGCACATTTTTAATCTGCTGCAGGAATGGGATGGGATTGCTTCCTGCATATTAAGGTCCAAGCCCATTTCAGCATTATTAAAATAGGACTGCTAGGATGTGAGAGCTTTCTTCTGTCCTGAAATTTTGAAATTTAAATACTAGTAAAATAAATAGCAAAATCTTTTAGCATTATACATTACAGTCTAGCATACTACGTGCTGTCTAAACTAATGAGTTGATTAACAATACTTAGACAATACAAAAGAGCTATGCAATTTCTTATTCCTTGTTTTTAGTGTTTCTTATGTTAGAAAGCAAGATTACTAATGACTAGAAAGACATTTGTATAATTCAGAATGCCTCATTGGTGGCACATCCTGACTGTAAAGCTGAAAGGGTGAAATTCTTAAAAAAAATCCCTCAGGAGTTTCTTTGTAATTGCTACTATGCCTAGTATTAGTCCTGTAGCAGTTCCCTGCTCTGTTAGTTCCTTGTCTGCTGGATTGATCTTGCTCTTTGTATCCAACTAACTGTGAAGAAAATGAAACTATGTTCTTAAACAGGATTAGGGAACCATTGTTTTTATTAAGGAGCTGTTTCTGACCAAAGGAATCTGTATGGCCACTAAGGCCAGTTTGTTCTTTTAAAACTAGGGCCCTGGGTATAGTTAAGTTACTCCAATTCCGACTTCCCAAGCAGTAAGAGAAGGGGAGGAAAGGAACTGTTGCAAACCTGTTGCTATGGCCACGCAGCTGCAGGCTGAGCTGTTTGTGTGGCTGGGATCCTGCTGCATCAGCGGCTGCACGGTGAGTCCTTTCTTACACTTTACTACATGATAAATGTTCTTATTAGAAGCATTCTTTTGAATGCCACTAAGAAGTTGGTACCCTATTAAAAGGGTCCCCTTCCCCAGCAACCCACGATGTTTCATTGCATAATCAAATTGATATGCCTGAAGTGGGGGGGAGGCGCGTCAACGGCGTAGTTGGAGAAGCGGGAGGCGGGCGCTGCTGGCGGAGCGCGGCGGGAGGCGAAGCTGAGGCGCGGCCCCTCAGGGGCGGGAGGTGCTGCTGTGGGGTTGCGGTCTGGGCGCCGTTTTACCGCGTTTCGCTGCTCCCTCTCCTGTTTTTAAATTAATTTCTGGTCAAATTCATTCAACAAATTTGAAAAAAATTCGGATCGAACAAAATGGTGGTCGAGTTGATGGCGGAGGTCGAGCAGGCAAGTGCTGTGAGGTACAAGGCTTGTAAAGAAGCTCCGTAGCTTTGGACTAGGTTGGGTTTTTTTCCCTAGTCTTCTCCAGAATGTCGCTATAAACAGCAAGAATGTGTAGGAGGGCTTTCCAATATCATTAGGGAATTTCACATAGCTGTGATTCAAGATTTGGCCATCTTTTTCATCACGGTTCTGCTAGAAAGTGCAGCGTAGTTCAGAGGATGGTACACGGGAAGAACGTATCATTGTAATGCTGCTAGTATAATTTAAAGGTGCTCTGTCTTGTGAGACGTGGTCTGGCATCAGAAAAAACCTCTGAACAGCTTGTGTTATAAAAGGTTAGTTTTCTGTGCAAATAGAGAAGTCATTGAGATGTTTTTCATTGTTTTTGAGTAACAATTATAATAATCAAACTTCTTAAACTGCATTTTACAAAGCCAAAGTCATTCAGATCAGCCAGATTAAAATAAAATAGGAATAGATTCTGTTTGTTGATCTTCAAAACCCATAAAAGAAAAATTACTACTTTAAAAAGTCTTTTCCGGAAAGGATTCATTTTTCTGCAATGTTTTAGAGCAGATTATTTAAAGTAGAGGTTATTTTCCTGAATTAGATTGGACTTCCATTATTTGTAAAATTTCACTCTATTTCCGAAGGAAGAATGTGAACATTTCTCAGTATAGAAGGGGCAGGAGAAGATCAGACAGTTGTTCTTCAGTCATGTCCTTTTGGCGTGAGTCTTTTCCTTCGCCATAGTTTCAAATACAGATTTTAGTTAGTGGTCATGATATTAACTTATTTTATGTACAGCTTCTGAATGTCTTCCTCAAATCCTTTGTCTATCCACAAAATCTGCTGGTAATATTTCAGCAACATTGATGTAAGGAGTGTTGAGGTGCCAGGAGACACTGTATTTCCAGTCCTCACTGGTGACTGAATGCCCATCAACTCTGAGAAAACCTGGGTCTTGGTGCTGATAAATCTCAGTATTTTCAGCAGCTTTATATTTCTTAAATAGTTAATCTTTTTCCTTAAATGTTGTGGCTAATTTGGTACATTAGTATGTGTATAACATTTATATTAAGTATACTACACCTAAGTGCTGGTGGCCTTTCAATTTTAAAACGTTTCTGTTTGGTTGCCTTGGTCCCTCCTGGACTTTGGATTCACTGTGATTGTTGAATTGTTTTCTTGTGTAGCTTAGTTTGTGAAAGAGCTCTAGAAGACAAGCCTATGTACACATGGCACTTTTACATGCTTAGGATGTGTTGAAGTACAACTAGGAGAATATAGAGAGGGCAAGTTAGTGTTTGAAACCCTTACTAACTAGCAGGATTTTCCTTTTTGTTGTCATAGTTATTATTTTTAGACTTTAACCTTACCATGAAAGCATTCAAACTTGCCAGAAGGGCAGGAGCTCACCACAGAAAGGATCTAGAACTCTACACAGTCACAAATAGCATAGTAAATAGAATTATGCATATGATAATCAGTAAATACAGTAATGTCACCTTCTTTGGTGAATAACCAACCCATCAGTTGCAGATCTGCATTCTTCAGGAGGCAGTGGGTGTTTCCTTACAGTTGAGATTACATGAGTGCCTGAAGTGATTTAAAAGCAGTTCCCCACAAAAGAGAATAAAACATTAATTCTGAGTAGTTGATTAGCAATTTTATTGAGTGTTATTCTTAGCATGGAGTTGTAAAACATGACTTAGGGTTTTTTTGGTATATACTTGTTGTTTATGGTTCCTTGTCCACATGTTTTGCACATTTTTAATCTGCTGCAGGAATGGGATGGGATTGCTTCCTGCATATTAAGGTCCAAGCCCATTTCAGCATTATTAAAATAGGACTGCTAGGATGTGAGAGCTTTCTTCTGTCCTGAAATTTTGAAATTTAAATACTAGTAAAATAAATAGCAAAATCTTTTAGCATTATACATTACAGTCTAGCATACTACGTGCTGTCTAAACTAATGAGTTGATTAACAATACTTAGACAATACAAAAGAGCTATGCAATTTCTTATTCCTTGTTTTTAGTGTTTCTTATGTTAGAAAGCAAGATTACTAATGACTAGAAAGACATTTGTATAATTCAGAATGCCTCATTGGTGGCACATCCTGACTGTAAAGCTGAAAGGGTGAAATTCTTAAAAAAAATCCCTCAGGAGTTTCTTTGTAATTGCTACTATGCCTAGTATTAGTCCTGTAGCAGTTCCCTGCTCTGTTAGTTCCTTGTCTGCTGGATTGATCTTGCTCTTTGTATCCAACTAACTGTGAAGAAAATGAAACTATGTTCTTAAACAGGATTAGGGAACCATTGTTTTTATTAAGGAGCTGTTTCTGACCAAAGGAATCTGTATGGCCACTAAGGCCAGTTTGTTCTTTTAAAACTAGGGCCCTGGGTATAGTTAAGTTACTCCAATTCCGACTTCCCAAGCAGTAAGAGAAGGGGAGGAAAGGAACTGTTGCAAACCTGTTGCTATGGCCACGCAGCTGCAGGCTGAGCTGTTTGTGTGGCTGGGATCCTGCTGCATCAGCGGCTGCACGGTGAGTCCTTTCTTACACTTTACTACATGATAAATGTTCTTATTAGAAGCATTCTTTTGAATGCCACTAAGAAGTTGGTACCCTATTAAAAGGGTCCCCTTCCCCAGCAACCCACGATGTTTCATTGCATAATCAAATTGATATGCCTGAAGTGGGGTATCTAAATGCATTAAACTATGTTCTTAAACAGGATTAGGGAACCATTGTTTTTATTAAGGAGCTGTTTCTGACCAAAGGAATCTGTATGGCCACTAAGGCCAGTTTGTTCTTTTAAAACTAGGGCCCTGGGTATAGTTAAGTTACTCCAATTCCGACTTCCCAAGCAGTAAGAGAAGGGGAGGAAAGGAACTGTTGCAAACCTGTTGCTATGGCCACGCAGCTGCAGGCTGAGCTGTTTGTGTGGCTGGGATCCTGCTGCATCAGCGGCTGCACGGTGAGTCCTTTCTTACACTTTACTACATGATAAATGTTCTTATTAGAAGCATTCTTTTGAATGCCACTAAGAAGTTGGTACCCTATTAAAAGGGTCCCCTTCCCCAGCAACCCACGATGTTTCATTGCATAATCAAATTGATATGCCTGAAGTGGGGTATCTAAATGCATTTGTGATTTTCATGTGAACATTTTTTTTTTTTCCTCCAAGTCAGACTATCTACTGATTTAATTCTTTCTAAGCTGATCTTGGATGAAAGTTTGATGTTGTGCCAAGAAATGTGGCAGCTTCATCTTTCCTCCTTCTGGCCAACTGAAGCCTGGTATCCCCTAATATTTATTAATATGCTTAATGCAGAGGCATTTCAAACAATGATGAGCAAGATTTTTAAATTAAACGCTGCAAAAGCCTTTGAAGGCTAAACTGCAAGCACTGAGGTTAAGTGAAAAATTCTCTGCCCTCCCACGAAATTAGAGTTAGTGCAATGTAGTTTCAGAAAGCCACTGTTTGCTATTACAGCTATACACACTGAAGTGGTCCTTCTTACATAGCAAACAGGTTGTTGTTTTTGTTTTTTTTAATGTAAATAAAGTCAAAGAACTGCTAATTGTACTGAAATGAAAAAAAAGTTTGTAAGTCTGTAAGAACTGTTGTTTGTTTCGGTTTTTTTAATCTCATGTTTTCCCCTTATTGAGGCAATTCCTGAATACTATGTTTCTCTTTATGTATGTCCTGCCTGGTAGGATTTAATTGACTTGGAGGATGAATGCCAACCTAATGCATGTGGTTCCCCCAGTAAGCAGGAACAGAATAATCTCCCAGTTTCCCAAGGTAAGCATTCTTTGTCTCTCTGGTCACAGTATGTAGCACCTGCTACATTGAAATGTCTTTCCTTTGTCCAAATAGTATTTTAATTTCATGTACAGTTATTGTCTTAAAAATAGAAATTGTTTAAGGCCTTTTTTCAAAGATGAATGTGACCTCATGTTCACATTCAATGCTCATATCTTTAATAAGAATTTCTTCTTTTAACCTTTACAGAAAGTGACTCTTGCAAAAAATATTTTATCTTATAATATCCATCTTGTTATTTCAGCCAAAAATTAATAATTATATGCTTAAAGAGTTCCTACACCAAGGGGAAATAAGAACCATAGCTGATACTAAATATACAAAAAGTTTAATTAAATCTATATGGAGGTTTTTGTTGAAGAATTTGAGGCAATTTTAATTTTCTGTTTGTATAGGAACCTTAGTCATACAGTAGATCAAATGTATAAGGCACTATAGAAACACACACAGAATAGATCACTCACATCCCCAAAGAATTTTGTACTTGAAGTATAATAGAAGAATTAAGGACTGGGAAGGACAGGGAATTCTAATGCTGTTTTTTCAGTTGTTCAAAAGATCCTTTTTAAGGGAGCTAGCATTTTTTCCCCTGTTTGATCTCAGCTACACATTTTGCTTTGAATTTTATGAAAACTACCACAGTTTTTTCTCTTAAGCAAAGACAAAGTAAAATTTTCTTCATTTTAAATTAATGCCTGGTTAGAAACTAATAGTAAAAACAGTGCTTCCCACATCTGAGAAATCTAAAAGACTTCATAGTAATAATGACTTAGTGGTAGTGTGCTCCTGTCTGCATTTGCGTCGTGTGTCTCAGTACTGGGATAATTTAAGGTACTTGCTATTGTGCTGAATGATGAACAAATGTATCTAACTGGAAGTTTAGCTAGTGCTCAGATGCTGACACTCAGAAAGGTGGTCAAATGATGGTGCTGCCCAAAGGACCTTTTAAAAAGATAACTGTGGGGAAGATTTACTACCTTCTAACCCAAGTTGGCTCTTTTCATATGCCAGGATATCTCTGCGCTTGACAAACTCTTTGAATTCATCTTATCTATTCTTCCTTGCTGATTTGACTACTTCCAAAGTAGACATCACACAGTTTATCCCAGTATTCCTTCTCTCCTGTTTTCAGTGGTACACGCCTGAGGCCTGTCTGCAGTTCAAAGAGCACTTCCACGCACGGGTCAGGACTGCTTGTCAGCAGAGCACTGGAACAGTTGGGTAAGTTTATAATAAACTGTATATACAATGAAAAAAGTGTTTTAAACTCTTAATAGCCTGCTTCCTTCATAGGCTTTGCTTCCCTCATTTCTCATCTTCCTCACTCCAGTATGTTTCAGGTCAGCTAAGCCCATGCATGTGGCAGTTCTCTCACCTGTTTGACAGTAAATTAATAAAGTGCCTCTTCTTCCCATAAGTGTCAAAGGTACTTTATCTGCTGGCATGAGTAGTGCTGAAAAAATAGTGCAGTCATTTAGCAATGTAGTTGCTTACCAACTTTGAACTAAACTCCTAGTTCAAGAGATTAATTGACTGTGGTGAATTTTGCACATGCAGGTCAGTATGGCAACTGAATTCTAGAGCAGTTATAATGTTGTTGTTCCAAAGGAACAGTTAATAAAGGCTTTGGGCAAGATATGAGCATAGAGCAGTTTTAAGTTGCTTGAAACATGCAGGAGTCTAGCTTTAGTATTTTTTAGAAGTATACATGCTGAGGAATTTTCTCAAATATTTCCTTAAAACTGGTGCAAAATTCTGGTCAATATATAGCAGTGAAAAATCCAAATAAAGTGTTTTATACCATAGTAATCATCTTTGTTTGGTGTTTTTTTTCCCTTCACATAATCTCTCTTCCACAACTGATACTTACACAGATTTAATTCCTGAAGCAAGGCAGGAAAGCTAAACTGTTAGAAATCATCACTATTCAGTTAAAATAAATATCTCTATGCTTTAGTGAGAAATTCTTCTGTGTTGCAGTGTGAAGAATCTTTCCTAAAGTGGAGCTTCTGTGAATACTGACAATTAGCTCACTAATCTTTAAAGTCTGGAGTTGTTGATTACCATGAGACTTGTACCCATCTTTAAATGCAACTTTTTATTCATTTCACTAGGGAGTCTTGCTAAAAAAAATACAAAAAAAGGAAGTCAAAATAGTCTCCCTGAGAGACACGAGTAAGTTTGCCGCTTTTTAGAAGCGCAGTCACTGTCTTAATTTCATGTAAATTTGTGGCAAGTGTCCAGACAATTTTGCTAGCAAGGCATTCTTTAGTGAATTGAGCCATTTTTTACTCTCTGTAACTGAGATCTATTTTTTATTTTAATTTTAAAGTAAACCAGCTCTCCAGTTAGTTTATTCTGGTGACAGAGTATAGTTAAAAATATTTACATTTTGGCTTTGTGAATAAAATTAAACTTTTTTCCTGTCACTGTTCTTTAGATATTATTATTACTATTAGTTCATTTTTGGTGGGGCAGGGGTAAGATTAACAGAGAACTGAGTGTTTTGTACAGTAACTAAAGCTTGACAGGAGTAGCCATTATCTTCCTTTTCCATTATTCTAAGTAATATTTCTTTGTCATTTGAAAAGGTAGTCTGAGAAATTCAGTAGCTAATGGCTGTGTTGAAGACTCTTTTGATATCTGTGTGTTAAATGTCTAATCCAGAGTTTTTTTCTCCAGTAGGAATTAGTGGAACACACACCTCTAAATCATTAGTTACTTTTTTGCTTTTTTCTTAAAGTCATTCATTTTAATCAGTATTTTATCAGTAACAGTTAATATGGCAGAGACATGTCGGCATCTTAAGGGCCCGTGGCCCCCAGTTAGCATTGACTTGCACGCAAAATGCCTTCTTTTTTCAGAAATATTAGTCATGCAGCTTACTGGTCAGAATAGTCAGCATCACATGGAAGCCTGATATGACCAGAAATAGTATTTGATAAAAGATTAATTCCTTTGTTTAAAAGGCCATTACTTGATACAAGGAACGAACACTAAACCTCTTAAGCCATTTTTGTAGCATGTAGACATGAGATGTCAGTCCAAGTTTTAATTAACAAATGCATTTACATTCACTTACCCACCTGTATCTCTGAAACATACACTACATTTCCATTTTAAGAGTGCAGGCTGAGTCACCTGGAGCCCATCTGCTGTACTTTGTGGGAGGACCCAGAGCAAAGAGGATTATTTGTATGCAGCCAGCTTCAGATTAATATTGTTTCAGATAGTCAGAAAGTGTATTAGTTCTAACCATGTAGTTGTTTTTTTTTTCCCCCAGAGACAAACTCTGCAGTAGGTTATTTTATTATTAGCAATTTCTTGTTTATGCACTTAGGACTTGATTTGTACTGTTAAACTCAATGAGAAACTCAAGATTAATTTTAATGAAAAGGATGCAGATACTCTAATGTGCCAACTACCAAATGTGTATATATATACTTATAGTCAAAGCCATTTTAATAGACCAGAATTTGTCCCACTGGATTATATTTAAGAACAAAATGCGCAGAGTAAGAAATGGACTATTTCTGCTTAGAGGGTTGGGTTTTTGTAGCCTTCTGTTTCTTTCTTTGGATTCAAGAAGCACAGCAGCATTTCTGTAAGCTGGAGCAACAGGTTCGTGTGCTTATCACTTGCAATGTAAGGATCTAAATCAGAATTTTTAGAGACAATGCTGAAAATGTGACTAAAAACATGTGATGTTTTCAAATATTTATAACAGGCTGAGAATATCCAAAGTGATTGTGGTAGGAGACCTGTGTGTTGGGAAAACCAGCCTTATCAACAGGTACAGTGTATCTCAGCAGAGATCAGTTTGATTCTCCTCAAAAAACTGTTATAATGTTTCCATTCCTGTTCTTAAAGGGCAGTATTTAATGCTTCTGATTTGCAAGTCATGTTCTGGCACTCAGTATTTTTTATATTCTGGACTATTTTTATCCAGTCAAATATTATTAGGTAAAGGCTAAGCATTCAGAAACTAAACAAAATATTAAAATTTTCCCCGTGCCTGAGTCTTGGTTTCATGTTTACTCCTTATTTGTAAGGTTGTTCACTGAAACATTTTTAAGTCATCGTTGTGTGGGTATCTGTACTAATTTCTACAGCTATGCGTCTGTAGATGAAGCTCGAGTTTTTCTGTAGCTTATAAAATAATACAGATAAAGGCAGAACACCTTAAAATACAGTTATTTTATTCCTTACTGGATGTTAAATACAGCACTTAGGCCTTTTGTGTCTAAATCCAGTGAACAGATCACTGAATTTCTGTAGCTTATGATCACCATGACAGCTTTCTGTCTTCATTTGAGTTTTATTTTTTCCTTCATGTTCTTAAGTAGATAGGATAAGCTTTTAATCTCATTGTTTAATCATTGGAGTCATTATTTATGACCCAAAAATATATTTCCTTGTAACTAAGATACTGTATCTCCCTTGACAGTCCAAAGATATTTTATTCTGATTAATATCTCATTCTGAGAATTTACTAGATGTATATGCTCTCTAGTTTGTTAACCAGTATCTCAATTTTTAAAGTAAGTTTACTGGAGTTTTTATATATGCTTCAGCAATATATAGCCACTCCACAGTTAATTAATTATTTTCTTCCAAATTTACCATAGTTAGGGTTAGTTTTGCTGTTATTTATAGCTCAATGTTGCTAGTATTTAATCTGTTTGTGGGTTTTTTTGTTGTTGGGTTATTTTTTTTTTAAACTACAGGTTTTGTAAAGATCATTTTGACCGAGACTACAAGGCAACCATTGGAGTGGACTTTGAAATTGAACGCTTTGAAATAATTGGGATACCATACAATCTCCAGATGTAAGTTGAAACAGCATGGTGAAGTGTTGCACAGAGCACAATCTCAACTGAATTTGCTGCAGGCTCTAGTGAAATAAAGATTTTTAAAAGGCAAACCAAATAAAATTGCACAAAGAATAATGTGATCTGAAAAACGGGTTCTGGACCTGAACTTGCAGTTTTAGTAAAAATTTTGCTGTCTTAAATTTCTCATCTCTAAAAAATGTTATAATTTTGTCAGTGAAAACTCATCTTGGGTGCCTTGCGCTGTTTCCCTGGTGTTTTGGCTTTTTTACTCTAGTTTCTTGAAAGAGAAGTAGAATTGTTTAGCACAGACTTTGTCCAGTTCTGTTATTACACCCACCATTCTCTCATTTGAATTTAGTAGGCACAATGAAATAAATTATTTTCCCCAAATTGTAGGAAGACTTGAATGTTTTTATTAGAATGTAAACCTAAAATCTTTGATTTTCAGCTTTATCAGACCACTGGGAATCCTGGCTTTCTCTCACCTGCTTTGGTTCTGCTGAAGGAGGTCCTTTGGTATTTCCAGGGGCTTCCAATATTGTATTGGATCATCTGTGATCATTGATGTAAATAGATGACCAGTGAGATTTATTGAAAAACAATTAGAAATAGATTTCTCACTGCTCTCAGTGCTGTTGTGTTTTTGAAAATTCTGCCAGGCACTATACTTTTGGAACCTGAGTTGCTCTAAAAATGTAGACTGATGCATCTGTGTTTTGCCAGCTGCAGCAGTTTGGTTCGTGAGCTACTAAACGTCAGGTTGCATTATCTGCAGAATCTTCAGTGGCTGGGTAGAACATTTCCATATGATAAGCATCAGTGCTCCCTCTTGCTGAGAGGTTTCCACACAAGATAAATTTAGAAGTATTCATGACTGGTAGTACTAGGCAATAACAACACCCCAAACTTCTGTAGTGCTGCCAGTAGCTAAGAGGACTCCATATCACATTCATTAATAAGAAACACTTTCTTCATTTTTCTTTAATGGTGCCATTAATACCTGGTGGACTGAGCTGTACGTCTCTAATTTGTAGTGTAGGGTCAGATATCATAACTAGAAGTTGCAAGATTCTGATATACTAATACATGATTTAGCTAATATTAGCAGAAAAAAATTTCAAAATTAGAGTGCCCTAGAAATACATGCAAATTACATAGATGAGGAAAAAATACTTTTAAGAAAAGGATATTACCATGCAGAATACAAATATTTGAGTTGTGTCTCCAAAATGACCAGCTTTAAAAAAAAAACAACAACAGAAAAAGATAAAAACAGAGTTCAAATGTGTTCATTCAATAACAGAGCTTTACCTTATTTCTATCAGTAGTTAATGAATAACATGTTCCAGATGGTAATACTTCTCTGGTATCACATTCTTCTCCAACTTGTATCAGTCTGCTGCTTCATTAGCATATTTACTCAGGTTACAGTGGGTTTCATTAACCTGAAATTTCCTTTTTTTTCTCCTTTTGCACAGATGGGACACAGCAGGTCAGGAAAAGTTCAAGTGCATTGCATCTGCTTACTACCGAGGAGCAGAGGGTGAGAACAATATTAATTTGATCCTGGCTGTGACAGGAGGTTGCACTTTATAGGGAAACATACATGCATATGTGCTTCTTGCAAAGCTACCTGTAGACACAGTATGGTGGAATGGTTTGTCCATTATTGGAGAGAAGAAGGGACTAAAAAGCTTATGAAGTTGCACCTGCAAACTCTGAATGTTATGATGATGACATGATAAAAATTGGTACTTTTATTTGGGGGTGAGCAGGGAAGCATTTCAGTTTGGATAAGATTATTGCTGAAGTTAGAGGTGGATGCTTCTGGTATTCCCTTTGGTAAGGGAATGCAGGAATTGAAGTGGTCCCAAAATAAAAGGAGCAATAGCACTATCAAAATGCAGACTATAGGTAAAGACTAAATAGGGTTAAAGACTTCACTGTTAGTGGGGCATAGAGAAGGCAGAGGAATGGGCAAATTGATAGTCTTCCATCTCCTCTGTGTGAAATATACTCTTGCACTTATATATTAACATTTAACAAGATGAGTTGGAGAGAATTCTGTTCCACTTTCTGACTTAATTACTTTTTTTTCTAATCTTGTCTTTTATTGCAGTTATAATAACAGTGTTTGATCTGGCTGATATCCAGACTTTGGATCACACCAAGTAAGTTTCTGTATTTTGGCTTTAATGATTTTACAGCAGGTTTAATTGCCTTGGGTAGCCTGTAGTTGCTGAGAACTTGCTGGATCTTGAGTGCATTTCCCATTGAGCTAAGAAATGAAGGACAGCCACTTGTTTGAATTCCATAGGGTGGGATTTTTCTGAAGAAAACACAGAGCATAAATTTGAACTATTTAGCCTTGACTTCCTTTGTAGTCAATGGAGAGAAAAAGGCAGACACTGCAGTAAGAGTTTGATCCTTACAAAGTTAGATGATAAAGTGCACCCCAAAAGCATCCTATTGTTTTCCATTTTCTGTAAATAGAATAACAAGTTGGAATCTGATAGAAATGGGGAAATTGATGAGATGCATCTCATGCCTAATGTCTCAAGAGTCTCTTATTTTCTAAGTGCACTGCCAGCCTGAAATTATTTTCTTTTTCTAGTTTTTGTAGTGATTCTGTTGAGAGGTAGGCTGTCAAAAAGAGAATTACAAGCAGTGTATGCAGATAAAGCTAAACTCACTGGTTCAGATACTTTTAATGGTTTGGTTGCAACAGGATGATAATTTGTTATGAGTAAACTTGTTCTGCTTTAAGTGCAGGCTGCAAAACCCAACGTGGATCTATGATCCACATTGTCACCAGCTCAGAGCATATGTATTTCTAATATATTGTTCTCACTGTAATGCAGGTATACTTTTCTTTACAACCTGTACTCTGTCTTATCTCAGTGTGTATGAGTCTGTTTCCTTAGAGTACTGCTGTGGTAGCTCATTTACATAGGACTTTGTAAAATAATATATATATTAGTGTCTCTGCTTGGCTGAAAATAATTGAAGCCTGTGAACCTGATTTCCCACACACACACACTCCCTTCCCTCCTTGGCTTGTGTTGGATGACTCAAGAGGAACTTGATTGCCAGAGTAACAAAAATATAAAAATGAGTGAGACAAGAATCATGCAGCCTTCATAGGGAGATGTTTTATAATGCTGAATAGATTAATTCACTCTTCTTTGTTCCTGCTGGTATCTAATCTGCTATGTTGTTAATATTTTTAACTCTGCTTCTTGTTTTCTTATTCCTTATCTCAATCAAAACTTTGCCCCTCCCTTATACTGACAAATTTTCTCTCTGAGTGCTAAAATTATTGTTAAATTTGCACTCTACAGGGGCATATATAAACTTTTCATTAGTAGAAGACATGTATTGAAAGGACTTGGAATAGCTCCTGGTCTCTTTCTGTCTGGAATAAAAGGCATTTCATACTCTCACATAACTTCCTCCTCTCACTTTTCTTGTGACCCTATTGTCTGAAACTTTCTCCTATATTGCTCAGTCTCTCAGACTGATTCTCTCATTTCTCTCTCATGTTTCAGACAGTGGTTAGAAGATGCACTGAGGGAGAATGAGCCAGGTTCCAGCTTCATCTTTCTGGTTGGAACAAAAAAAGATTTAGTGGTAAGTAAATTGAATGCAGATAAAGAAATCAGATTTTCCCTTTTTCATTAAGTGATTTCCCTTACAAGTTGTACACACAATGTTGTTGAGATTAAAATCTAGAGGGAAAAACCTTAAGAGAACAAAAGGTCATCATAGGTAAATAGAACAGCATATTTTGAACCAATTTAAGATGGTTTCTTATCCTTCACTGAAAGTAAGTCCCAGAACTCTGCATGTCTGTCAGTTTTTCTTGTACTTTGTCTTGGTTATGCTGCATGTTCTGAGTTGCAGTAAAAGCGAATTGTATCAGACCTCTGGGGATGCAAAGTCTTCACTCAGCTAGAAATACTTTATCTAATGGTAGCACTTTCCACTGAATGGGAGACAAGAACAAAGCAAAGGATTGTGGGTTCTAGATATTACTTCAGTATGAAGCCAGTATCTTCTCAGCTAGATTCACTCTACTTCTCATATTGATGTCACATCATTGTCCCAAAATGGGGTTAGTTTACCTGGTTGCAAGCCAATAACACACAGTCGAGATATTAGGAATTTACTAGCAGAAAGGGGTGCTAGGGAGTATTCCCACAAAGTTAGCATACACAACACTGGAACAGTCGTACATTTATAAATTCTGAACTAACATATTTAGCATATTCATTCTTCACTAGATTTTTACTGGTGCTTACAATGCCTTTTTTTAAAGCTGGTGGGTGCAGGGTCTCCTCATCTGCATTTACAGATACATTGTCTTAATTTTACTGCACAAGCTCGGTGGGTGAGGGTCTGTGAATAATGAGATGGCAAGAATTTAAAGACTAGTAACTGGGCTATTGTCTTTATAGCTCCCTACCACACTATAACCTGTTGTTTTGTTTCAGTGCTGTGGGAGCTGAATAGTCCATTTTAAAAGCAGCGCTAGAGTACTTGAATCTTCTTGTAATCATGTCTGATTGCAAAAATTTTAAGGCAAGGCCAGAAAGGCCACTATGGAAACTGAAAGCATCACAGTATAAGTGCTGGCAGTTATTACCAGCCCAGATGCACTTCTTATGTTAAAGTTATTCTGTTATTTTCTCAGTCAGATGCTGTGTGTGAAAGGACAGAGCTAGAGGCCATCCACTTTGCCAATGAGATGCAGGCAGAATACTGGTCAGTTTCAGCCAAAACAGGTAAGTTACTGCAAATAATGGAAAAATAGCATAACCACAAAGGCTTATGTTAAGCTGGGAGGAAGTTAAAGTTCCTTATCCCCATATTCCCATGCACGTTTTGTTGTGTGGGATGTTTTGTTTTGGTGTTTTGTTTTGGTTTTGTTCTTGCATTTTGTTGCTATTGTAATTTTTGGGCTTATTAATGGTTGATTTTATTAGAGCATTTGTATGTGTGCTTGCACTGTCAAGTTTACAGAAAGGAGTACTTAAGCTGTTATGCAATGTCTCAGCATATTATATATTTTCTCCACATTGATCAGAATGGAGGACAGATTCTGTCCCAGTATTGAGCAGTGATCTGTTCAGAGATGTGCTTATTATACTAGATTGTGAGTTGTATGCAGTTGTAAAAACACAATTTATGTCCTGTTTCTTAGGGGAAAATGTCAAGGAGTTCTTTTCCCGAGTTGCTGCCTTGGCTTTTGAACAGTCCATGATAAAGGAATTGGAGAAAACTGCTGAGCACATGGTTCAAATTGGGGCAGGAAACCTCATCAGTATGTTAAGTTCTTTTTTGTGTGTGTATTATTTTCCTTGTTTACAGTCTGACAGCCTGGGGAGGTTTTCCAAGTTTTAAAGCTTGCAAGCAAATTTGTGTCATTGTCTATGTGAGTTCTAGCATATAGGAGTGACTGGGACTGCATTCAGCTCTTGTTACCCTTAGTATTGGAGGGTATAATTTCTTGTGAATTGATTTTATAACTTTTTTTTGTTTTCACAGCACTGGAAAAGAACATGCCAGAAGGCAACACTCATGATAGCCTGAATTGCTGCTAACTGTCAAGTGTTTGTGCAAGCACCATGCTTCTCTGTAGTCCACCATAGAGCACCTGGAACAAGGAAAGCTTTCAAATCAAAAATAAAACATTTTCTTTTTGGAAAGGAGGGAGGAAAAACTTTCCAGGCTTCATTTCTGAGAATTCCCTTGCTGCTGCAGGCTCACTTGTGCAGAATGGTACAATTGTTACATAAATCTTTCTCTGTGTAGTGAAAACATTACATCCTTGTCTTAATGCAAAAAGACATTGCTGGTGCCGTGTGCTCACCTGTCTGCCAGAAACACTTACAGTCAAAAGTTGTGTATTTTTAGTGTGTAGTTCTATGATAATTCTCTAGAAATCTTAGATAGTGAAGTATCATTCTCATGGGAGCAGAAAGCAAATGGCAGTTCAGAGTAAAAGGTGCTATCTGTATTTTTTTGCCATTTGAGATTCTATTATAAAATAAGTCTGACTTGCTTTTGTGCATTCCAAATATTTTTAAACTGTTCCAAAAGAAGTATTTTAAAATAATGGGTATGGAAGTACACAAATGCAGACTGCATAGTTTTCATTGTGGTTTCTCCATCCAGGAAACATCTGTATTATTTTTCATTCTCCACTTGAGAATCAGGGCCTAATATTTAAGAATTTCCAAGCCTAAGAGAAATCCAGGTAGGAACTTTGTTAGTTTATCCCAGCTATCTTAATATTTTGAAAATATTACCAGATAAGAATGCTATTACCTTCCATTCTCTTGAACAAGAAAGAATAGTCTAATAGGTTTATGACAGAGATAAATTAGATTTCATATATTTCATCTTCCAAAAAGGCTGCAGAAGCCTCTCTGCATTTATCTTCTTGAATATTGTCTACACTGCAGTTCTTTGTTGCTAAAAGTAATGACATTTTCATTGAATTCTAACTTATATTTTCTTCGTTTATAGTAATGTAACACAATTCTGGAACCATTTGCAGTCTCAGTCATGAACTTGTTTATCCCTGCCTGTTGTAGGAACCCTGAACTGGTAAGGTTAGATTCAATACTGCTGCTAAACTCTTAGTCACTTTGTCTGCTTTTACTGGACAAGATAATTTGATCGCTAGATGCCAGGAGCAATTTGCTCCACTGCGTAATAAAAGGAGTAGTAGTAGAGAAATAGTTTTGCCATTTTGTGAAAAGGCCTGCAAGAGTGTGTGGGTTTAGGGGGATGGGAAAAGATGGAGTTCTCTGAAGCAGAAATGTGCTTGTTAAGCCCTAAGGTACTTGCCATATGAAGATGTCATTGATTGAATTCCTGAATGCTTACAGTAGAACCTGCTCTCTGGACATGTTGCTGTGACTTAGTGTGCTGGCTGGATCAAAAAACCATTGTCCCACTTTTGCTTTTTCAGATACCCTTTGACATAACCTTGTGCAATTGGTTCTTTAAAAATCACAATCATTGTTTTATAGGGAGCGATTAGCTCTGGGTTCCACTGAATTTCCCTGAAGTAAAGGAGCTTTACAATGCTCTTCTGGTTTTTGGGCAACAATATATGATGCCAAAAGATATTCCTGTTTTAAAAGTAATTCCTGCTGACAAATGACATTGCCAGAAATTTGAATGGAAAATAATATTACCAGAAATTACTATAGCAAATATTTGGTCAGTATTTGTGAAATGGTATTACTATGATTGATTATAGTAACTAGGTTTAAACTGCAGATGTACAAAAGAAGTGAAACAAACACACTCGCTTTACTTCCCTCTGATTTTTCCAGTATCTCACTGAATTTCAATAGGCAGTTCTGAGTATCTAACTGGTGATATATTTCTAAAGATAAATGAGATGCTGTAAATATTTTACTTGTACTAAACCATACATATTTATGGCCCTTCAAAATTAGTATAAGCACTCAAATCAAAGAATAAACAAAGAAATCAAAATGGAACAAGAGAAAGACTGCTTCTCTAGAAATCTCTCAGCAACTTACAGTGCCATACTTCTAAGGTTCAAATCCAGCATTATGTGCTCTGCTAGCATAAAAAAAAAAAAAGTAGAATATCTCTAATGCATTAAGTTTCAAACTGCAACTACTTTAAATGGAGATAAAGGAGAAAACCTATGGACTGTTACAAGTTACGGTTTCTTAAGATACTCTTTCAGTCATTACAGAAACAACAGTGTCTGGAAAATTAATTATATTGGGACCTTTCAGATTTAAGCTACTGAGAAAATAAAGACATTTGTTAATCATTCTATGAATCAAACTGAAAATATTTTAGATTCCCTCCCAATTTATTAGATAAGAAAGTGGAGGAAAGATGACTTAAACATCCTTTTTATTACTTTTATTCTCTCATGACATAAGTTAGAGGAGCTTTGTAGAGTATGATGAGATGGGATCTAGGAACTCTGTGTCTTTTTTTATGGGACAATCTTCACTTTGGCAATTGTGGCAATTTGCTTGGCAAGGATGCAAGTGTAGCATTTGGTGGAGAAAATGAGTATGTGTGGTTATGTAATGAGTTATTTATCTAAATGTGTAATATTTTGACCTTATGATGTTCTGTGTATTTTTTCATCTTCCAAATCTGTTTCACAAGGATGATGAACATACAATCCACTTGTACCACGTGCCGCACTGAGTGGGCAGCATAGCTCTGGCTTCATGTTGAGTTTGAATGCAAGCAGAAAAGACGGTTCACTCTACTGCAGCAAATCATGTCTTCTAGGCTAGGTGCTAGGTTTCAGTGCAGTCATTGAATTGTTTAAAGCTGCAAAATGATGTAGTGACAAATCTAAAAAAAAAATCCAGATTCCTGGGATGTGGTGTGTTTTCCCCCCAAAAATGTATTTTATAAGTGTTTCTTTCATTGCTGTGCTCAACTATTGTACAAAATCACAGAGGTGCAATTTCTTCAGCTGTGTGATCATGTTGTTTGGAAAACCAACTGGGATTTATGTTTTCTAGTGATTCAGTGCATTGCTTGATGTCATTACTGAGTGTATCTTCTGGAGCTCCATAAACTTCACATACAAATGTCATAATGTACTCTGTCAGCAACTATCACTTGGCAATGGTCTGACTGCATCTATTTTATGATGGGTGCTTTGAGACTGGGTTTTTTGGGGGCTGTTTGGTTGGTTGGTTTTATTGTTCCTATTCTTACAGGTGAGGTGATTCCTGGAGGGGATTCTAGGAATGAACCATCCTGAAGGAGGGTTCCTTTCTTCTGGGTTCACAGAATGATGGGACTTCTTGAGACTTCCCAACCTTCTCAAACTCTTTACCACTGAGTGCTGCTTTGTGCCACAAAAATATGGTTTCTTAATTTCAGTCACAGATTAATCAGAAACCTTGTTTTATTTCTTTTTAAAAGGTTTCTCCTTCTGTGTTACCGTGTCGTTTTTTTTCTTTCCAAAACCTCTGGTTCTCTCTTGTGAGATAAAAATGAAGAAACCATTCAGGACTGACAACTCAAGGGCTTTTTACTTGCTCCTTTCTCCCACAAGATGGGGCTCTACGGTTGCTTATAGTACTAGCTCTGTTTCGGCTGAGAAGCGTTTTGCAACCTCTTGTAGGCCAGCAGAGGGTATGTGCTGGACAGTATGTCTGTAGTTTAGCCTTCTCATCACAATCTCAACTCACAGATGTGTCTGACAAAGTAGTCCTCATAAAATGTTGTATCCTAGTAAAATAATACTCTCTTGAATGCATGAAGTATCAGCTTAAAATTCAGTGATCTCTTCAATACTACAATATCCAGTGGAATTTTGAAGTATCAGCTTAAAATTCAGTGATCTCTTAAATTCCACTGGATATTGTAGTATTGATATTGTAGTAAGTTTAACAGTAGTAGTCACTAAAAGTTTAGTGTACGTACAGAGATCCCTGCTCGGACTCATCTGAATTCTTACTCCCTTCAGAAAGGGCATAAATGTCAGAAGGGTGAACTCAAACAGAAACAAATTCTGGACATGAAAAAATCACAACTATGATGCTTCAGTAGAAGTAATGGATGAGCTCAGAACATATCCCTAGGGTGTGTTATACCTGCATTATCTAAGGATGCCAGTACAGCCTGAAAGTTCATATTACCAGAAACACGTATGTCAGAATGACGTTCAAACTGGCACTAAGGTAAACAAATAGCAAGTATCAATAGTGAGAAGCTAATGTATTTGATTTCTGTGAAAGATTAGAATTTCTTGGAAGATTTATAGATGTATTTACTAAACATACAGATTTATGACTTAGACTATGATCTGTTTTCCATAGAGGTCAGCCAATGCCTCTTATGTGCTAAAAGCTGAGGAAACAAGTGCAGGAAAGAGGTTAAAGCCAGAAAACAAAAACCAGGAGGGATGAACTATGAAAAACTGCATACATGATTAGCCTTTTGTGATATGTCTGAGAATCCCCCAAAATACTTTGGCATATAAACAAGCATGAAGAGAAAAACTGTTTAACGGATAATGAAGCATTACATATCTCAAAGGTGAGAGCTATTCCTGTGGACTTGTACTTTCCTGCAGGATTTTATTAGTTCTTGTTGGGGCTATATCTACTCTCTTCTCTAGTAATATGTAGCATAAATGATATACCTCACTGCAGACATGAAATAAGCAGGTTTATGTGGGATATGAGAGGTACATGTCTCTTTCCTGTCATCCCAAATAGGCAAGATGGAACTACAGGTATATTGTTACCACTTTTTCAGAGGTTGAATTAGTACATGGAAAGGATACAGGGCTTAAGCAAGAGCATGTACTGTGATTTCAGAAGCAGTAATACTCATCAGCCAGACTTTTGTTTAAATCATGTGCTGCCCTTCACCCAGAGCTAAGGCATTGGAGTCTGAGTTGTTGTGGCTAGGATAATATACAGAAGTGGGACTAATGCCTGAACAAAGCAGCCTTTATTGTTAATATCATAGCGGTTCTGGAGTATCTGTTGCCCATGTCAGAAATGCAGCTTGTAATTTATTGGCAAGGAAGGAAGGACTGAGTGAATGACAAGCCTGCTACTGAACAGCGTTTACATTAGTGGGGGGAAACTTGACCTTTGAAGGTGAGCTGCATCAGTGCCTGGGGGGACAGTGCTGCTGTGAACACAAGAGAGTGCAGAGACTTGCTGATGTTTATACATAATGTATGAGAGCGTGGATATATGGACAAGAACGGATACCTCCCTGTGCACATAGGGATGTGTGTGTGATATGTTCTTGCCTAGGTTTTTAGGTATAGTCATGTCTATCTACGGTGATGTACAGGCCTGCGGCTGCAAGTGAGAGCAGCCGTGAATGTACACGGGTTTGCACATCTCCGCCTTTGCGGACACATCTCGCCGCTTGCGAGTCCCCGAGGGGCAGGGCCAGCCCCCCTCCAGTCCCACGGGCGCGG